GACGCCAATGAGTCAATCCCAACGATGGCACCTTTTATTTTAAATAACCTCGTATGACGAAATGAGGAACGTGCACCCTCCCAACCAGCATACCACGCGTCGGTTGATCAGGCCCTTCAACGCAAGCTGTTATTAGCAAGCTGGACCAATGTTATAGCAACTGAGGCTCCTTTGGTCGGAGCTGAAATTCGTTGGTTCACGAACAACCATATGAAATGCACGCGTTACGATTGTATCGCTACCAACAAAATTAACACTTGCGACCAATATGGCTCTTTTCAACCCATGAGAGGGTGCCTCTGCTCAAGGCGAATTATATGTGCATGGTTCTTTCGAAACCTACCTTGACTTCTATGATCCAGCTGTCGGGTACGGCACGCCCGTTGGTCGTAAGGAGAGGAGCCAGTCGAGCGTGAGCCAGAACAACACACAGACACAGCAGAAGAAGCTTCATCGTCGGTTGGAAGATTGAATTGAGCTCTTTTAACAGACAGGTGAAAGCCTACAAAGTTTATCCCACCAGTCTTTACCAGAGCAACTTTTGAATGATTAGTCAAAATATTTTGCAGCGTATTTATGTGTTCTCTAATTCCTTCATATCTGTCCAACGTGCTGTGTACCTTAAGAATAAACAAGATGAAACAATTAATGCCTTCGACTGTTATCTTAGAAATGCCCTCCTTTTTAGATAAATAACTGAAACAAATTTTCTAGGTCACATTTTGAGCAGATAGTAGCGCTTAATCTGTGTGTCTGTTCAATGCAACAGGACATGTGTTTTTATAAACAAGAAGTTCCCACGTATTTCATTCCACGTTTGACACGTTAGTTCAACTCTTTCTTTAGGATGTACCATTACTCGATATACTCGAAAGAAACTGCTCGTGCTAACGTTAATGACAAGATCACAGACATCTTAAGCTTAAACATAGGTAACAACTGCATGTTTAGACCAATGAGAAGTTTCAAAAATAATTTTGATGTCCTGCACAGCTTATTAATTCCCCCACCTTCAGCCAAGTGGTATGTTTACTTTCCTTGCTGTGACTGAGACTTGGCTAACCGAGGCTGTGTTAGATGCTGAGATCAACATCCCAAGTTACACCATCTTCCGGAAATAAAGACGTGGTGGTGGTGTACTCTAAGGCTGCCACACTGCTTTCATTTGCCGTAGAAGAGCAGATCTTGAACAGGACGGATTCGAACTGGGTAGAGGTTTTATGCTGTCTAATCGTGAAGAAATGTGGTGTTCAACTGCTCAAGATTCTTGCCGACACTTGACCAATGCCTCGCGTCAGCGTATGTTCATGCCCGCTTCACTTAGTTTGTGCGCATGCGTACTTATTCCCACTACAGCCAGAAGCCAGTAAACTGGCTTTTGACTCGGACAGGCGGACCCCGAAAGTAATCGATCAACATCAAGCTCGGATATACACTGGACAGCAAAAGAAACATAGGTATGCTGCAATACCCCTTACTAATCACATGCCCCAAAGCAAGTGTTTATCTTAATAACAAAGAAGAAATTGACATGCACAGCAACTTGGTTACCGAATGAAAAGTCACACACAAAAGCACTCTCCACCAAGCAAAAATGACCCATAAATGGACAACATTTTAAACAACCAATGACAAAGTGAACACCTGTTTTTTCAAAATGATGTGCATGAGTGGTTTCTGTATAGGGATGCCATCTTTACTGACTATGCATACACACTATTGAAAAGTAATGATTGTGACTTCTTTATTTCGTCCTGTGACATTGATCGCTGCGTAAAACTTAAGGCTCATTTTGTTACGTTCTGTGACTTTTGATTCAGTCCATTTTAAAACAATTGTACTCGTTTTGGTTGAAAAGTTTGAAAAATCCCTCAAAAACCTTCAAAATTGTTTTCATACCACAAAAAACAGAAGTCGGAGCCTGTTCTCAAAATGGAGCAAAATACCCTGGACAGTCCTGACACAATGCATCTTCAAGGCACTATTTGCAGCACCAGCCATTTAAACAACTGCACCGCTTCCTGAAATGATAATGGCACTGTTCTGTCGTGGGCATGAAGGAGGTCCCTGCATATTGCTTCAAGTTCCATCTCACATCCGCATGCTGAAGGTGCTGTTGTGAATTTATTTTTGACAGCAGTGATTTCTTCTCTTTGCACTGGTAGTTTGAAATCTTGGACATCTTTGATGGAAAAATCATTTGCAGATTGTTACTGTCTGACAAAAAAGTGCTCATCCGATAAACTTAGTATTTTCCCACAAGCTTCAACATGGGTTAACCCTGAGATAGGGCGCATTTGGTGGGTTGACAATGGAACCTCACACAAAAATATAGACCCGCATTTATTTACACGTATCATCATCATCAAGAGAAATCTACTACCAACATGACAATACAAACCACTCTTATTGTTTGAAAAGAAGAAAAAAAAATTTTTAAAAACCAAATTGCAAGTGGCAAAACAAAAGCGTAATTTGCAAAACAAACTGTAATTTGCACAACAAAATTCTAGCCAAACATTACTGTCATAAAAAGACTGGCCAACGCTTAACGTTGGGGGCGTCCGAAGTGCTGTGCTATTTAGCTTGTTCGCTTACTTCGCTCGTCAACTGTGCCGTGCCGACAGTGGAATATCAATGTCGTCAGTAAAATTCTACGAAATCTTACCATTTCCTTGGCAACAATGACTCACAAAGTATCTGTACCCTTTGACTTGGCCTCCAAAACCTTCGAATGATGGAGTGGTAGGATAGGTACCTGTAGGACACAATGGCACACAAGGTACAAGGAGACGTTTGACGGTTTGTTTTCTTCAAATTCCTGTTAGGGCCTATGCCTAGGCATGTACAACAATGGTTATGTCTCTGGTAATGGCAATAGGAAACTCTATACGTGCACACACGGGGGGGGTTCCTTTTCATTGCTAACTTGAGTACTTGTATGAAGACTTAAGTTAAATGACTTCATGTCTTGACATGTGTGACAAGACGCCATGATTATGTAATCGAAAAATATAAATAAACTTCAGTAAAATTGCCCGTTTGTATGGTAATTTTAAATTGGTCTGTGGTTTATAAATGTTCATGTTCCCCTTTTGACTTTGTCAATTATGGGATCATACCGTACATTTCATTTCCGATTTACATGACTTTTGCATGTTTTGTTAGATTTCGATGTTCTCTGCCTAAATTACATTTGGGGGGCATGGAGGGGGTAGTAACAAAGTCATTTAGGCAAACAATATGTAGGTATGTCTTAATAATGCCCACAAATTTTCATCTTGTTAAATTGCCAGTCGGTGAGACAACAGTGGTTTAATGGATGAAATGTGATGACTAGCCTGATTGAGCAGTCTATGAAAAGCCATATAATACGGAACTGCTGTCATGTGGGGTTAAAAGCACACAGATTTTAAAGTTGAACAGCCTCGAAACAACTCAATGTGATCCTGTTACCTCTTGTAGCATACTTCGCTGTTCAAGCTTATTCTATTTCACTGTGCCATGACTAGGCCATATAACTGCCTCGAAATTATTTACAATGTTCCTTACTACCTGGATGATGAGAGGTGGATGAAAGAACGCATACAGAACAGTGCCATGAGCAACAGGGTTCTCAGTGTACAACTCGGAGCCGCAAACTTGTGCTTCTTCTGAAACTCAACCTTAATTATGAAGTTTGATGTGCTCATTCCATCCCATTATGAACAGGTTACAGAGATTTAAGGACTGACAATTAACAACTTTTACTAGCCCAATGTAGTGAGACTGTGAAGGAAGTAGGCGACTGGAAGTTTTCAATGGCTCCTCAAGCCCACAAGCATAACAGTTATTAATTGAAACTTTCAAGAAATTATATTTATTTAAAATGTTGTCAACAACTACATGGGGCTTCTTTAATCTTGTCTATATGTGTAAGACTGTTATTCTGGGCTGTATCAAACTCATACAATCATAAAACAACAGGACAGAATTTTGTCGTTTGATTACAGTTTTATTCCGTCTCAATACCAGCACTGGGTTTGACACATGGGTTTCCACATACAACGGTGCGTTGATAAAGATTGGTAGATCAGCCCCTCCCTCTCAAGTAGCCCTCCTTTGTTAGAGTTGGACTGGTAGGCTGCATTGACAAGGGAACGTGAACGTAAAAGTGATGAATTCCAGTACTGAGTCGCTGGCAATAATGTATGAACTTTAATTTTAATGAGACCGGTAGGTAGCCTGCACCTGAGACGAGCCAAGCATTAAATTAATATCGGGTCATAGAGATGAGTCTGGTTTCAGTTAAGCTCCTTGAATTAAAGAAATAACTCCACAAACTACTTCATTTTAAGATCTATTAAAACCACTTCATATGACCAATGGTGACAGAAACACGTTTGCTTTACTCAGCCCAAATTATATTTTTGAACCCTGCATATCGTGCAATTCTTTGCAGTTCCCTAACGTGATTACGATCGATACAATCGGCCTGCTAACGCGCCACAATGGGCTGCATCGCGCACACAAAGCACGCCCTCTAGCATACATAAAGTGCACCCTCTGCCACATGAGATGTACGGTCGAAATAATATGGTTGTATTCCCAAGGCACACGCACGACGTACATGTACGTATAATTTATGGAGATATCGTTACGTTCACTAATTTTGCATGCTCCCATTGCAAGTATGAACAGTTTGACAGAGCAATAAAGGAGTTACTAAATCTTGCCCAATTGGATATTATCGCTCAGGCGCAGCACTCCCTCAGGTAGTTAAATGTATGTTGTGTCCTGGGAGAGTGTTATTAATCAGTGAACATGACGCTTATTACCGATGGCAGCTGGAATACGTTCTGCACATTATGCATTAGCTTGTGAAGAGAGGTAAAGCAGTTCGGTCCACCGCCAGCTCTTTTTTAGGGGGGGGGGGTTTCAACTTCCAACCCCGCTCTAGTTAACCATTATTTCTTTTTATTTTCAACAAGGGCAAACCTGAATTCTGATGTAGGAAAGATCAAAAGCTGTTATCGTCACCGCTATACCTTTTACTCTGTTGCGTAATATTTTTCCTTGACTCAATACTTTCGTTATTTGGATTCACAATTTACATGATAGTCCCCATATAATCCAGTCTTAACTGTTGGTATGTTAAGTATGCAGTTACGTATTGTCTTCGGTTGGCCGTTTGCACGTAGTCGGGCGCGGGCGTGGAGCGTTTTTTTTAATTCAGTTGCATCCACGCTCTTGACCAACTCAGAGCTGTAGCCACCTCTTATAAGTACGTTTTGTTTCATAAATAGCAACTACATTTCCGAGGATTAATTTTGCCTCCAATTTATTTCTGTAGCCTACGTTGAAAAAGGGTTTCTAAGTGTGCAGAAGTGATCCAGGGGACGCCAAAATAATCTGGTATTCCTTAGGGGCGACGCCCTTATTCCATACATTATCACTTACCATAATTATGATTCCCAGCGATGTTTGCTTCAGAACTTCATTGCTAATAAAAATATCGATTTAGGATGTACAATAAGGAATTGTTTGCCATTCCTTATCCTTCCTCGATATGACTCTGTAAGCCCCCAGAAAACCCAGCATATCCGTTATCCCCATCACTGCGTGCACTGGGCACTTCTCACCCCGAGAAGGATGTAAGTTCATGGTACATGTATTACGAGTTTCTATAAGTGGTAAATTTAACCGAATACTGTACCCAGGAATTGAAACTCGATGACTGATAACGCTGCCGAATAGCCCCTACTTCGTTCGTTATTGATTATTTTTTTCCTGAACGTATGTAATCGTCTGTTTGTGGATTTGATTTACACTTTTTTAATAATCCCTTTGCTCAACAGTGCGATAATGGAGATCGACAAATATCACCAAATAACTATGGTCATAACTTTTTTTCTCAAAGGGCCAACTTGGTGGAGATTTCTTGTAATCCTCACCCCAGGCATACCCCATAAGCCTGTCCTCTCCCATTGGCGAAACCCCAACCCCTGCCGAGCTAAACTTCTTGAAAGATCAGTCACTTAAAGGAGGCCATATACTCAATCAGGAACTGGATTTCTTTGGATACAGACATGTTCTGACTGGTCGGCTGTTTCGGTTGTGACCCGGTATTACTACTACGCTTACTTCCACAGCACAACAATGAAATGTAGCTAGAGGGGACCTCAGGGATATATTAACTTCCATAAAACATTCGCACAGGTTCAGGCATTACCGGAAACCTGGAGACAAAATCACCTCATGAATTAAGGGTGTGATTTTGGGGGCGTGGCTTGGCCTGACTGGTCACGGCTGTTTGTGTTGTGACCTAGTTATACTTCCACAGCGGCATAATGAAATTAAGTAAGATGGGACCCAAGGGATGTATTAGCTACCATAAAACAGTCGTACAGGTTCAGGCATGACCAGGAACTGACCGGTGATGAGAATCTCCACGTGATGACAACAGTCTTCGTTTTGGGGTGTGGCTGCCCCAGAGTTAATAATGTATTACTTAATGGGGTGATGAGTAAAACGACTTCCAGTCTCCTTTCTTCACAAGTTTGTACAGTGGCATATGCCATCCTCATCTCCCAAAATGGGATTTCTGGCAAAGTTGTGAATAAGTCCTCTAACACACACAAACTACCGACCACCACTTGCACGTATTTATCAGAAACGTGTGCTACTTGCACCCCATGGGTTTACTTGTTTAAATCAAACAATTTACTGTCATTTTTCCGTTAAATTGTAATTTTCCTGTTGATGTATATTTTCGTATATTTATAATTTCATGTTCAATGTTGATGTGAAATAAATTTAAGTATGATTCTAATGCTAAGTACTGTCATTTTTGCCTTAGGCCATGAAAGTAAAAGGAATGAAATAAGCAAAATATCTCTACAACATCCCGCTCAAAGTTGCGCCCTTGGTCACTATGGAGCCGATTTGTATGCCGAACCTTGAAAACCAGTGATCTCGCAGTGCTTTTGCAACTGTTTCTGCGCATTCATCCTTGCATGGCACTGCCTGTACAAATTCAGAATAAACATCAGTCATAACTAACACATCCTCAAACCCACCGCGCCCCCTGTCAATCTTAACAAAATCTATCGCTAAAATTCTAGAGGTCGGAATGCTGGCAAATGGTGTATAGGAAATCTAGGAACAGGCTGTGACGCCTTTGCAAGGATACATTGCTGGCACTTCCCAATAGGCTTACGAACCGCAGCAACCATTTTTTGGCCTGTACACACGCCTCATAAGAAGTGAGCAGGTCCGCACAACACCTCATGCCCCCAACTCTCATGACGGCCTTCAAAAGCCCTTTGCTGGAGACTGACAGGCAAAAGAACCTGAAACAATTCCCAAGAGCAACGGGTCTTCCACTCGTCGACAAAAAGCCCCGTCCCGCTCAACAAACCTTGACCACTGCCAAACCCATTACTTCAATGCAGGAGGGTCACCCTGTTGTGCGTGAGCAGCCTCACCAGGACACTAGTGCTGCCTCCAACGGTTCCAAATTACTTCCAGTACTGGGTCCGCCTTTTGCAAATCTGCAAGCTGCCTAGGGGACCAGGAAGGAAACACACCCGGGGGACCAGCCATCACCTCTTGCTCATCTGCCTCCAAGGAACGTACTTCATATACACCCACATGCAAAGGGACCTTTCTGGTTGCTGTATTATGCTACATTAACTCCTCTACCTCTTCTGCCGAACAATGCCCAGGGTAACGGCTAAGCGCATCTGCGCACCAGTTGCTAGCACCAGAACGAAACTT